TGATTTGCTACTAACACAAATGTTTTCCCTTTTTTTATTATTAAATAATGCGAGACACAAATTAAAAAAGACACGAAAATATTAAAATAGTTGGTTATTTATATTTTAATTTATTCTTTTACTATTTATTCCCATGTTCGATGCAAAACGTAATGGCAATAGACAGAGATAATGCTGAAAAAGGCTTTTTTATTGATGATGATACTGGGCATAGTTCACGTCCATTTATTTTGACCAATCTAGACAAATCGTATACTCTGTACGTCTTAATGCCTTAATCAAACATATAATTACTTTCCAACGCCAGTTGAGATTTTCAAAAAATGATTTTCATTACCATTTTTTTTATACATTTTTAAAGAATATGTAAACAATTTATAGTTAAAAAAAATGAATATGTTTTTTTCCTGTTACATTCTTGTATTTTTTTAAACCTTTTCAGCATCAATAGATCTTTTATATATATATTTATTTTATTTTTTTCAAAATTTTTGTTTTCATTTCACTTTTACGGTGTTTCTAAACATATTATTTCAATACAGAAGATATGTAATAAAAAATAATATTTTAATGAATGAAAATAAGAAGGAAGTAAATTTTTCCCTTATCTTAATTTGATGAGATTCCTATAATCTTTTTGTATAAAAATATATTTCTATATAAATTAAAATTTCTAAAAAATATAAGAAAATAAGATACATTATTTTGGTTCTATTTATTTTAATGGGAAGGGAAAATGTTTTATGGCGACTCTCAATCAATAAATTAATGTTATGTTCTTTTCTCTCATAAACAAACAATAAAAACTCATGATTAGCTGTATAATATTTCATTCCTTTATATTTTCTTTCGCTTAAAAAATAAAGGTTGCTCTAAAACAATAGTTTAAAAAAACTTTAAAATTAAACTGAAATTTATTTTCAACAATTTCTAGTATTTTGTCTTAAATGATATAATTCCAAACAGAAAAAAAAAGGTGCATTGAAAAAGTTGAGAAGGAAAAAAACTCTGTTCTAATATATCTTTTACTCAACTTCTTACAAGGCTTTTTTTTTTCTTCTTCTTTTGTGAAAAATAAGTTGCTTAAAGTAGAAAAGTTTTAAAATTGAATAAAGCATAGAAACCGTTATTTTTAAATATATTCAGAGCAATCACTCACCTAATTATCTCTTTAAGGACCTATAATAGCCATCCAAAATATTTCCACTTTAGTTTTAAAATTTTATTTTTCTCACTCACCAATATATTTGTGGTATATTTTTTTATTAAATAGTATTTTTAATACTTACAACTTTACTAAAAATTTAATTTGCACATATATCTGAAATTTATTAAGTTCAAGGAATGCCTCATGAAGTTTAAATCATTTAAAACCCCTTCCAAATAGTTATTTTACAGTATACATATATAATTGTCAGAAGAAATAATAACAGCTATTAAATTACTCATTTTTAGTTTTTCAAACAGGAAAAACTAAAAAAAAAATTGTCGTCAAAATACTCGTCCTCTAAATGTAATATATATACATATTTTAATAATATTAAAATATATAATATTTTTAATTATAATTTTTATTTTATTTTAATTATAATATATAAATATTTTAAAAAAAATATTAACGAGTGAATGTATCTATATTTACTTACCTTGTCTCAAAGAAATGAGTAACTCAAACTTATAAAGTGTGTAATATATATACACACTTTGATTTGTTTTATTCCCAATGATTTCAAATTCTATAATAAATTACCCTCAAATCACTATTGACCAAACTATTGCCAATTAAAAAACAAATTAATAAATTATGCGACTTCAACTTATAACTTATTTATCTTCTAAACTATCATTTTTTTTTAAATGTGTAAATTCATTACACATCACTTTTAAGTTACTGTAAAACCAATCTCAAAATATTATTTAATATTTTCTCTTATTTAATGTAGTCTCTCGTACGTAGATTGACTATGTATTTTCTTTAACTTTAGTATAACTATATTAAGTATTTTTAAGTTTTTAAATTTTTTTCGACTGCAAAAATTATTAAGTTTCTGTTATTAAAGGTAACACAGTTGAGTTGCACATGATACTTCTACTTAAGAAATTTTCATACATCTGATAAAAAGTTAGTTGACTGATTTTTCTTCCTATGTTTGTGTAAATTATAAATAACTCTAAGAATGTCAACTCAGTTGAAATATCTAATTTTCGCGGTTATACTTTCTATCTTTATTAAAATTGTATATATATACTTGTCACATTATTTTAATATGATATAACAAACTATAAAATAAAAATTTCTCTAAATGATTTATCATATTATCTCAATATATATATATATATATATTAATTTATCTATTATTATAATTATAATTTATATATATAAAACTACTTATCAATAATTATTTATAAATATTATTTTCTCTTAATTTATTGAGGTGATTTTAAAAAAATTACATTTATTGAACATAATATCTTTAATATGTAAAAAGATAAATATTACATTTGTCCCTTAATATTGAATAAGGACTTGTTTTAGTACGTTAAAAAATTCCATATTATATTAAAATTATAATTAAAAAAGTTTATAAACGTTTTTATAATAATGTTTTGAGATAAACTTTATCAATATGAATATAATATCATTTGATATAAACTATAATGAATTAAGTTTGAAAGTTTTAGCATTAAAAGAGGAAAAATAAGTTATACATCAACCTAATTTGTAGATTGAGCAAAGTAAAGTGTTATTTTATAATTATATATATATATATATATATATATATATATATATATATATATATATATATATTTATCAGACTTAACATATTAGTCTATTTGTATGTATATATTATATTTAATTTACTATACAATTTATACATAGCAATGGAAAAAAATATAATTATTAAAAATAATTTTTAAAGATCCATTGGTCTGATTCTAGGCTCCATAAGTTAAGTAGGTAGAGTTTCATTAAGAATGCCAAAAGAAGATGTCCTACAAATGAATTTGTAACAAGTAAATTTGAAATAGGGCCACAGTCAAGTTAACCGAATTTTAACTTGACTCGACATGTTTAAATGTTTTGATTCTTAATTATTGACACATAAGTCGTAGAAAATATATTGAAAAATTATACTTGAGACCAGATTAGACTAACCCAGAATAAAAGTTAAATTGGTAGGGATGGAGTAGTGGCTTTCAGCACATAAGAAGTAGAAATGTGGAGAAGAAACTTCGTACTCATTTCTATGTTTATGGCACATGATTCACGCTAAAGGAGCACCTTGCGAGTTATTCGGACAAATTGGAAATTATGACTCAACACAACAACACAACACAAGGTTTTTTTTCTCTCCCTTTGTGCGTGTTTGGGGTTGCAAACACCTCAACAGTAATGATAATAATAATAATAATAATATTATGTGGGATGAAATAATAAAAGGGAAAAATTATAGGTAGGTTTGGGTCATTCTTGATTCTTCCTTTTTGTTTTGTTGCCCCTGCCTTCCAATGAACAGTGGAAGTACCCAACAAAATTAGTTGGAAACTTGGAAGGGGAGGGCCACCACCAGCTACACCTCCTACCTTTTAAATCCTGTCCCTTTGCTGAACACTTTCTATATGACCTATGCTAAAAAGTGCATTCCACACACCTTATCTTACTTTCTTCTTCTTTTTCTATTCATTTCTTTAGTATACTGGTCAGTTACCTTACCCTTCTTATAGTCGGCTAGGTAGGTGCATTGCAGTGCCCCCGTGCACCGTTTAACCCCCATTTACCCTTCTTCTGTTTCACCAACTGTCACTATTACCAGCATCACTTGCTCATTTTTTATCATTACCATGTTACCAACCTTGCTCTTTCACACAATTTACAAAATGTTATTTTATTGACTAGAAAATTGCAACTCTACACCCCCGTTTCATTTCAAAAAACTTGACTCCAAGTTAATAAATAATAATGAGGCGGAGGAAAACTTTTTGATTAATTAAAGCAACCGACAGATACATTAATGGAGAATTTAAACAAACCTAGTCCCCTTCAAATGTCAAACTTTGTGACGAAGAATGGGGTGATTGATTTTTCATACATACGTAATACACTCCTAGATGAATTCGGCATTCTGATTTTTTTAACAAAATAAAGAGGAGAGAAAGGCAACGGTGTATTAGGGCCATAATTGAGTTGTTGAAATTTCTAATTCTTTCAACAAACACAACATAATAATAGGTTGTAAATGAACACTTGTGTTAGCTTGAGGCTGTAACAGTGGTTGAGAGATTCCATTAGGAGCTTGTGTTGTGTTCCTTGGTTCGTGGTTGGTTAGTCTTCCCACGAACGAAGCTAACAAACAGTGGGCCATGTGTGAATTAAAACCTCCGAAGCTTGGTTGCAACAGCTGATTAATACGTTGCAAAATAGTTTGTTTGGAAAGTTTTACTTTTATGGTAACAAACGTGGCATGTTTGTATCCGTGGACTACCTACAAACTGGTCTAGTGTTAGGCTCTCCCCAAAGGCCACACTCTGTTTGGCACTTTTGACCCTTCAGAAGATGAGATAAGGACATGTTCTTTCCAGTCATAACAGTGACATTTTTCAAGGAACCCCACTCACCCCACCACTCTTCATTATCTTTTGGAGAATGCCACCCCATAAGCTTAATCTGTATATGTGTCGCTTCAAAAGTTGGTTTTCATTTGCAAAAGGGATCACCTACAATGTATATATACATATTTTTTAAAGAAAAAGAAGAAAGCAAAGAATGAATTGCCTAACTATTCTCGATCCATATACCACTTTATGCTATGCTTTCGTTGATTTCCACATTATCCCAATATTCAAATGGTACAAAAGACAAAGGCGAGAATCATAGGTTACCAGTTTCAAATGGATTGGATGGTGACGTTGTAGATGTTATCTATCCTGTCAAAACAACAACTTGGTGCGAAATTAAAATGTATTTCATAATGGGAAGATAGACAGCACTAACATAGTTATTCTTTTAGTATACAACTATATTTATATATAGTTCAACATTATAGTTATAGAGTAGTGAGCGGTCCATGAAAGATACTTGAGTAACATGCTTCAACATCATTGGATCATGGGATTCGTGGATCTCCCAACATCAAGAATGTAAAATAAAATAAAATAAACCATAAAGGCTTTTCAACTCCCTCATATATGTATCATGTATTATCCAACATACAATATTAAATTTGAGGTTCTCTGTTCTATTTGATTTTATTCGCAATAAGGTTCTGGTATCTTTCACGTAGAATAAAATAATGTTTTTCAAAGTTTAATGCCTCGGAAAGTATGGACAATTCCAAGTCCTGCCTAGTTTGATTACATTTCCTAATCTGTTTCATGCACACTACGTGGATGTACTTAAAGCTTTACATTATCAAGATCGTGTAAGTTGCTCATTATTTTCCATTTTTGAGGGGATAGAGTAGTTTTCTCATACACAACTCATTCTCCATACTCCCTTTCGTTCCCCCCTCCTTGATTTATGCTACGAATCAGTATCCAAATTAATAAATTCAATGAGTTTGTTAAAGACTCAAAGAAAAAAATTCCTACAGATCGTAAGGTTGGATTTTTTAGGTAGAAAGTATATATTTTCTTTCTTCTCCTTTTGTTTGCGTGATGCATATATATTAAAGGCGGAGAAGGGTTTGGTATGGAAGCAATAAAAAAATGGAGCGTGTGTGTGTGTGTGTGTGACTGGAAGGGTGACCCAAAAACTGGGACTGTCCTGAGAGTGGGTGGCCCATGAGTCAACTTGATGAATTCTGAAATAATTAATAATAGAGAGGTGATATGGGTCCTCTCTTGTTCCTGCTCATAAACGTTTTCATTGCGTTGTTCAATAATTGTGAGATTCCCACATACATTACATAAGGGTAGTGGTATCCTACATGTCTTCACACCCTACTCTCATCCAAACACTAAACATCATTTCCCAATCTCTCATTGCGTTCTTAACTATGCACCAAAATATTATTAGGAGTAAAAAGTAACTAAACTACCACTTTTGAAAGTTACGAGTTTCAAGCCAAGGAGGCATGAGATGGAGAGATATTTTTGTCAGGTATACTTGGAAGTGTGAAAATAACAAACACGTCATTCGCGTAAGATTGGGACAACCCCCAAAGTGTTCGGGATTTGACATGTAATTCTAAACATTCAAGAGAAGGGGGATTTTACTTTTACTTTCACAGTCCACACACAGAATATTTTGTGAAAAAGTCTTCTCGAGACATGTTCTAAACTTCTGTAATCAGATGACATAAGTATGAAGTGTTTTCCTTTTTGCTTTTGAAAGGCGTATATCTAGCAAGATGTGATGAAAAATCATTACATGCTCCTCTCTTTATATCAGTCATTGCATCTTCCATCAACATTAACCAAATCAACCTTTACCGATCATAGATGTGTTACATTTATCAACGTGTCATTCATTTCTGTCACGTTCAATTCATATTTCTTACTAGTTATATTGTATTTGGAAACTTACTACTTCTATTGTGGGCCTATGGACCATTATTGGAGGGAGTCCACAGACACGTCACTTTTAATGTTCGGGCTTCATTCTTAGCCCAATTACTAATTGGATCTTGTTTAGTTTTCAACAGTGATATAAAAAGAGGCTTGAACAGTACCAGGCATCTTGATCCACGGAACCAAGTGATTATGATTTTTATGCATTAAAATTTCTAATCCCAATAATTGATTATTTTTATGCATTAAAATTTATAATTTCAATAATTGATGTTTTTTATGTTTCTAAATGCACAATGTGATAGAGCACCACACCACCCGACACACCATATATGTTTATTTATTTATTACACCATGTAAACTAAATTTTATGTTTTTTCTTTAATCTTTCTTTTCTTCTTGACTCTCTCTAGGTGCAGTGTATAATGATAATTTTCCATTACATATTTGGAATTCCATCCACACTAATAAACAAAATTAGATAAGATAAGGTTCAATTAATTGATCCATTCATTATTTATATTCTTGCATGTAAAATCTCATTCATTGATGAGTATCTAATATAGTGTGCACTTGCCCATTTATCATCAATGTGCCTTTTTCATTTGTTTCTTTAAAGAATGGAGAGAAAAAGGTCTTAAAATTTTAAATGATTGCTAATATTTTATTGAGAGAATATAAATGAAAATGAAGGTTTATCTGTGTAGAGCTTTAAAAAAAATGTTACTAATCATTGTCGTCGCCGTCCGTTCCGATGTCTAGGGACATCTCGAACGTATATGTGAGCGGTCGCAAAAAGATGGTTTAGACTCGCGTTTTATTTTAAAATGTGTTCATTGCTTCCGAGGTGCTCAACAACTGAACTATCCTCTAATAAAAGTAAGATTTTCGCAAAAGGGTTCTTATGGAGTCACCACAAATGTTTTGACCATAAACATTGGAAAAGGATAAAAATGTGTTGATTTTAAGAAAAACCAAACTTGACCATTATAACCAGAGTTGGGTAAGGGAGTTAGTTACGTATGGGGAAGGTGTTAGCACCCCACAACGCCCCTTTCGGGTTCCCTATGACGGATTAATCCATCAAGTAAAGATTAAGAGAAATTACGCTATTACCCTATTTTATTTATACAATATTTAAAAAATGGCTATCTACATGATTTTATTTTCTATTGCATACATAAAACAATAAACAAAGCAATAAAAGAGAAGAGAAGTGAAATGAACCTCCGTAGCAAGCTTTTTATTGCAAATCTTTAACTGTGAGGATGCGTTTTGACAATCCCCCGCTCTACAAAGACTCTCATCCCCGAATACAAGATCGACTCTACTAAAATTTTAAGAAGAATCAAATGCTGGAAGAATATTCCTTAATCGATTGTTACCTTTTTAGGCAATCGGAGAGTTCATTCGAAAGAGGGAGAGAAGACAAGTGTCTAGAGTGTGAAAAAGTGGCAAATGAGCTTCCTATTTATAGTTTTCGCAGCCTGGCAGCTCGGGACGGCCGTCTGGGGTGCAGAAAATAGGGATGGGCGTCTGGGGAGGCCAGGACGGCCGTCTGGGATTTAGGACGGCCGTCCCAAGCAACAAATTTGGCTGAGATGGCCGTCTGGCATGTGGGACGACCGTCTGGGCTATTTGGGACGACCATCCCGACTTCTGGAACGGCCATCTCGACTGTTTTGGCCAGATTTTATGTTCTAGGACTCCCGAGACGCTTTCCTTTCTTTATTCGGAAGTCGATTGGTGCCGATAGACGTCCATCAAAGCTTTATCTTTAGATAGGAAGTCTTCTTAGCCTTTATTGAGAGGCCGGGCAAAATTAGGGGTCTACAGGTGCCCCCCCTTCACCTGCCTGGCTAATTGTTGGCCTAATGTGCCCACAAAGTTAGTTGGCAGGGGAAAGAGTTAACCCTTTTTGCCCAGTTGTCCTTTGGATGCTCATTTGCTTGAAGTTTTGTTGATCCTCCGGATGATAAATATTTTTGATAGGTACCAACCCCTATCTGGTTTGAGCCTTCTTTTATAAGGCTCTGGTGAGTACTTACCCTCACCAGGTACAAGTCTGCATTTCGCTAGACTCTTGTGGGTACTTACCCCCACCAGATATGAATCTGCTTTTCGCTAGATTCTGATGAGTACCTACCCTCATTTGGTACGAACCCTATTCCATAAGGCTCTTGTAGGTACCTACCCCCACCTGGTACGAACCTTGTTCTGCAAGGCTCTGGTGAGTACCTACCCTCACCTGGTACGAGTCCGCATTTTGCTAAACTCTTGTGGGTACCTACCCCCACTTGGAACGAACCCTGTTCTGCAAGGTTCTTTGTGGGTACTTACTTCCGAGGTGCTCAACAACTGAACTATCCTCTAATAAAAGCAAGTTTTTTGCAACTCGTTTTGTAAGGCTCTGGTGAGTATCTACCCCACCTGGTACGAATCTGCATTTTGTTAGATTCTGATGAGTACCTACCCTCATCCGGTACAAACCTTATTTTATAAGGCTTTGGTGGGTACCTACCCCCACCTGGTATAAATCTGCATTTTGCTAGATTCCGATGAGTACCTATCCTCATCCAGTACAAACCTTATTTTATAAGGCTCTAGTGGGTACCTACCCCCACCTGGTATGAATTTGCATTTTGCTAGATTCTGATGAGTATCTACCCTCATCCGGTACAAACCTTATTTTATAAGGCTCTGGTGGGTACCTACTCCCACCTGGTATGAATCTACATTTTGCTAGATTCTGATGAGTACCTACCCTCATCCGGTACAAACCTTATTTTATAAGGCTCTGGTGGGTACCTACCCCCATCTGGTACGAATCTGCATTTTGCTAGATTATGATGAGTACCTACCCTCATCGGTTATGAACCCTATTCTATAAGGCTCTTGTGGGTACCTACCCCCACCTGGTACGAACCCTGTTCTATAAGGCTCTTGTGGGTACCTACCCCCACCCATAAGGCTCTTGTGGGTACCTACCCCCACCCGGTACGAACCCTATTCTATAAGGCTCTTGTGGGTACCTACCCCCACCTGGTATGAATCTGTATTTTGCTAGATTCTGATGAGTACCTACCCTCATCGGGTATGAAACCTATTCTATAAGGCTCTTGGGATGCTCTTTTTTTGGCATTCAATCCTATGGTTGATGAGTACAAACCCTCATCCGGTTTTTGGAGATGTGTTGGCGGCTTAGTGTCTTCGATCATGCGCCCATTCCATGGGGAATGATTTGATTTTTCCTTTTTGACTTTTCTGTTTTAGTCATCCGGCTTTGCCGGGGATTTTTGTTTTTGACTTTTCTTGTTTAGCCATCCGGTCTTGCCGGAGATTCTTTGTTTTTGGCTTTTCTTTTTAGCCATCCGGTCTTGCCGGGGATTCTTTATTTTTGGCTTTTCTTTTTGGCCATCCGATCTTGCCGGGGATTCTTTGTTTTTGGCTTTTCTGTTTAGCCATCCGGTCTTGCCGAGGATTCTTTATTTTTGGCTTTTCTTTTTGGCCATCCGGTCTTGCCGGGGATTCTTTGTTTTTGGCTTTTCTGTTTAGCCATCCGGTCTTGCCGGGGATTCTTGTTTTTGGCTTTTTTTGTTTAGCCATCCAGTT